TTTATGCATATCTGTAAGTATTAGGTACATGTTTTTAAAGAATGGACCTGAAATATCACAATATTATGTGGCTCCATACTTTGTTAGGCCACGGCCATGTTGTGAGCAGAGTGTTGGTAGGCTTTGATTATTTACCCAAACATATTGTGCAACTTTTTACCATTTCTTCTATCAAATTATCCAAGCCTGGTCTCTAAATGTATAAACACGCAAACACTTTAATTTTCACTACATCTAGGTGCGATACGTAAAATTTTTTTAAGAGAGGTACCTGTATTGTTTCTGGAATGCAAGCCAGAACTCCGCAGAATAGATAGCCTTTTTTCACTGCTAATTCGTATCTGTGCAACCCCTTTTGCATAACTGTAGTTAAGAATTTCGATGTTTCTTTGTGTACAGAAAACTGCATGTACGCGTGTTTTAAGTTTAACTGAGAAAAATACTCACCCCTTCGTAACTTTATAAAAATATCATCTATCATGTGCAGGGGATATTTGTCTATAATTATATACTGATTGTAACATATCTTAAAATCTCCACATAGTGCCATTACCTTTAAATATACTAACTAATGGAGTTAAAAACTCACTGACTTTAACTTCTTTGAAGTACTCTTGTTTTACCCAGCAATTTGTCTCCTACTCTAGTAATGCTTTGATAGCGTAAACTAAATGCCTACATTTCAGTGATATTGGTCTTGTCTCCTTATTTAAATATGTTTTTGTAAGACTTTATTTATATATATCTGGCTGTTCACTCAGCAGTTTGGAAAATTTATTTTTTAATATTCTTAGAATATCTTTGCTCTCTATTTTATTTATAGTTAGATCATGATCATCTGTGACCTAAATGGCAACCTGGATGGCCACATTTTCAGTTATTTACACCTTTGACTCCCTTGCTCTCAGCAACTTTAATTACATGAGGTTCAATAACATTCGACTCTCTCTACTTACTATCACTCGCGTCACTACTTTTCCCTATTTGTACATCGTAAACGTTCTTTCTGTGTGGTGCGTGTATGTAATTGAAGTCATCATTGGATGAACTGTCGCCTTTTGTGCTGTCGTGATCCACTAGATTAATCGCTTTTTCATTCTTCTTTTCTGCCATCTTCTTCCAACAGGCATTAGATGGATTTCCGTTCGTACCACAGTGGTGACATTCACACTCACAGTACTTATAGTTTTTGTTTACGTCTACTTTTTTCATACAGCAGTAGCATGATAGCCTTCTTCTTTCCTTGTTTTGACTTTCAGTGACAATACCGCGTACGACATTTGGTCCCACATTGCTTTGTTTATACTTGTAAAATTGTAGTGCAGTGCAAGTCTTTTTAGCTTTGCCACAAAATCTGAGATGCTTTCTGCCATCTTCTGTTCAGCTAGATGACAGTTACATCCCTCAAACTTCTGATGGCTTTGAAATATTGTGATATGACTCTCACAATGTCATTGAACTTCGTGTTAATCACTTTTGCTCAATACATTAGTTGCTTAATTAATTCGAATGCCTCTAGATTTACACGAGCCATTAGCATGGATATATTCCTTTCATCGTTAACCACGTTTTTCTCAACTATATAAAACTATGATTGTTTAAAGAATGTCTCCTAATCGTCACAATCCAATACGAAGAAAATTTTGTTACTTTATGACATGATGCTTTCCTGTTCCGTGTCTTCATTTTTCTGGTCACTAACACCAGCTCCTGCTTTTATTGCTTCTGTAAGCCTTTTGCAAAGACCGTCGAATGTTTCCGACTCTTCTCTTTCAACGCCTCGTTTGTGCAACTTTTCTAATATTTGCTGTTTGTTCATTTCTTATTTCCATGAAGTTCTCAATGTTTTATCCATCAGTTTATTCACTCCACAATTACCGTACAACCATCGATACCACACTGTGAATTCTTTTTTTGATCCTCGTCACCAGTTATTATATCTGGTGCAGTGGCGGGTGAGAATATTGCATATTATGATAGGGAGTACAAACTAGTGAAATAAGTATACAGACTGTTAATTGAACAGATTGAACGTGTATTTGTTATGCATAGTTATTACTCGAGTAGAACGCTCATCAACCATCGTCTCGAATGGCTTGCGTCACACTGACCTACTCAGTTTCACTACGTAACTCTATTAGCCCCTCTTACACTTACACGCATACTAGTAAATAAGCATGTACTATGGTCACTGTTAACAATAATTAGTTTCACGGTAATTCCTGCTCTCCCTGCCCATACTTATACACCACAATTATCGTTGGATGTGTCAACTACTTTGAATATTGCATTATCAATACTGTATTACGTCTTTATTCCTCCTTTCATTTAATTTAAGATTTTATGATTTGAAGAATATGTGTACTCGTTATGAGAAGTAAGTATTGTATTATTTATTGAAAACATTTAAAAAAACGAACAATTGACTTGAAACAAAAAATTCAATGTACACTTGAAACTTTACAAATAGATTCTTATTCGGAAACATTAAAGATGATCAATGAAATGTAAAAATAAGTAATGATATCAACAAGTATACTTTAATTACTTAAATTATTATGTACCACATACAATAAGGCAGCATTTACATGAATATATCGTAATGTAATCTGACCCCCTTGCAGAAGATTTCTTCCCAAGTAATTCAGAAAAATGCTGAAGTCTTTCCAATCTAGTAAGATCCACTTTAACATATTTTTTTCTTACTCCATACTTATTTATTTCATTTTTCAAGACTAAATAAATAAAAATCTAAGCTTTCTGAGAAAATGTTTCAGTTACAGCATCATCTGTTAGCGGGGGGCGGGCCTGCGAAGCACGAAGGGAGGTGAAGCCCCATTGGTGTATGTCTACAGTGTGTTTACATTTTATAATACACAATACAACATACAACAATAGTATTTCCTTTGTGTAAGATTTAAAAAAAAGGGCCACATTAGCGTTACGGGCTCGTATCTAATTCAAAAATTTGCAGTTTTGAGAACACCTGAAAGCAAAATATGGAGATTTTAATTTAATAATATATAATACAATATACCTGACAAGCCACTGCTACAGAAACTTGAATTTGTAAATTATGTTATCCCAAATTAAATATTAAGAACCAGTAACTCTAAACAATCGCACGTAACTTTTTGAAGCATTTGGTTATCAACTGAAAAGATGGTGGGTTAAAATGTAGCTCTTTTGTATCTGATACTAGTACAGTAGTAGGGTTTAATTTTGCTTTGGTGCGTTAAAATCTCAATTTTTGCCATATTCATAAAAGCCCATAACGCTCCTATTTGAAAAGCTCGTAACGCTTAAGAATGTTGTGTATCTTTTTGAAGCATTTGGTTAGAAGCTTGAAAGGTGATGGATTAAAATATAGCTGTTTGTATATGATATAAGTACAAGGGCGAAAGTTATTTTTTATTAAGTGCGTCACAATCTTGCATCTTTTCATTTTTGTACGAGCCCATAACGCTTTTTTTTTTTAAGAGCCCGTAACACTATCCCGTAACGATTTAAAATGCATTGTATCTTGGTTTAATGTTGCATTGTCGACTCAGATAGTAATTTGTACAAATATACATGGCAATAACATGATATTAATGTAAGAATAAAGTCAAATTTTTATGGCAAGTGCTTTTATTTCAGTGATAATAAGATTTTGTACGAGCCTGTAACGCTCCTACATTTTGAAAATAAATTAAGAAAGTAATAACAAAAAATTTTTATTGTGTAGAACTAGCAAAGCATAAAAAATTTTATCTTATTATGGCTACGGTTACTAAAAAAAAAATGTTTTAACAGTTAAAAAATTCATATGAAGTATTTGTTCATTTCGGTCCTTGAAAGATACCAGTTTTCGTACAATGATCCGTATATGAAAATGTGTACCTATGTGTGCTGCAACTATATTTTTCTAAGGCTAATGTATTTTATTAGTAAATAACTAAAATTTTGTGGACAAGGCATTTAAAATGTATAAAAAAAAGTATTAAGATTTAATTTTGAATGTTTAGTTGTCCTGGCCAACCCCGAAGCAGCTTGGTCAACTCTCTTTCAAAAATGTTTTCAATATTTGCTGTTATTTCTCTTCAACTATTAAATCTTTTTATAATATTTTAAGGCATTTTAAGTTATTTGAGATTTTTTAACAAAGTGCAGGTAGTTGATCATTAGATTTTCACAAAAAATCCAAATAACGGAGGGTTGTTAATAAGCACAATGACATTATAATTTGTTTACGTAAAAAGTAGTCCCAAAAGTTAGAAAAAAATCTCAAGTATTATTGATGCAGTGTGTGTCAAAACAATAAGAAGTGTTAATCTTAGTTCAGAGAGCACCAGGACCTACCAGTTCTGATTCATAGATATATTTGTACCTGGATTGAGCTTCACGTCATACGTTCATCATTCGTCAAGTGTATGATATGTAGTGCACGATGTCGCAGCCAGATCTTGTGACCTATAGTTCTTCTAGTTTTTTAATATCTTATAATCAACACTGTACTAAAAATAAAAAATATACAGTCAAACAGAGCAGTATTCAAAATTTAATTTTTTAGTAAGACGTCAGTGAACGCATTTGAAAGCTGAATAACAACTTAAAACTTATGATTACTCTTTGGTTGTGGTACAAATAACATTGAATGTAGGATGATTGCATTTTTGTATATATAAGCTTATATAGCTTGCTCAAGGTCTCTGCACACCTAGAGTGTTTATTTTTCAGTAAGTTTATTGAAGCGACTCAACGGCCTTCACGCACACGGATTTCCCAGAATTCAAACGGCCTTGGCCTTTTTGTTACTTTTCCAAAATATGGATCGATGCATGTGTGCGTATACAGGGAATAGTCAATTCGTGATAAATATTGTAATGATTTGATAATCATAGGTCTGTAATATTTTAATAAATCATCGAAATTAAGAAGTAAAGTGTTATAAACAACTTCATACACGGAGCATGGTTTTTATTTATATATTATATGTATATTTTCTGATCTTCCAGGAGATGATCAGGAGAGAGTCAGGATGGGGTAGAAACGTTCTTGATGTCAGCAATACTAGTGCTTTCACCCAAACTATTTCGGAAAGGTTTTTGAATATCCACGACGAGTGTACTTATCTTATTTTTGTTGTTATGACTCTTTCTCACGAGTATTCTTCGCTCTAGTTGTCGTCTTCTCGGTGACTCATCAATAATTTTACTGGTGGTGAAGAATTATCTTACTTTTGTTTTGGAAGAAAATATAGATGTTAAATACATGGATAGAAAGACGAAATTCAGGGTGCGAGCCCAAAAATCATTCTTACTAAATTCATATGTATACCAAAAGCAAACAATAGATACAAATACTCTAAATTTATAATTAAGTTTGTGATTCATTAAAATTTGTTAATTTCAATACAATACATACGAGTTTGATCTCTTATCAAAGCACACAGAGCTAATCATACTTATATTAATTTTATTCGTTTGGTCTTGACAGAGCCACAGCAGAAGGACAGTGAGAAACAAGGTACAAGCCCACTACTCTCTATCGATTCCTTGCTGGGATTGCCGCTCTCAGCTAATTTACGCTCTCTTATCACCTCGGTTTTCTCCCACTTGGTACAATGCCTCTGCTTCTTCTATAGAGTGCGGAAATTTTATTTTTAATACTATGTAAACGGAATTTTCCGTCAAAGTATGGTAGTACAATAACAGACATGATTAAAAACAAATGTCAATAGTAGTACTATAAGGATACGCTAACTGAATCCTGATTTTTTATTACTTTATGAATAACGTTCATTTTTAGATACATGCAGGAAACACATTCTATTGATAAATTTTCATATAAACTGCCATCTGAAACAAATTTAGATGAATGTTAATTTTTTGATTTAACAAAATGAGCTTCTGATTGTACATTAAATTTTCAGAATTGACGAAACGCTGGAGAAATCCTATCACGAAGTTTTTTTACCATAGGGTGTATAATGTATTCGATTTTCTTCTTCATCATTATACATTTAGTGATTATTAGGTTATTGCTCCTTGTGGCAGTTTTAAACACATTAGAATTTGTAATTAAACTTCTGTCTAAATTTAAATAGTCAGACTAGCAGTTTATGCAATTTTTGCAAGCCTACAAACGTTTTGTCTTTGAAAAATAATGAGTTGAGAAAGTTTTAAGGGCTGATTATAAGCCCAAGAAAAGATGTTAAACTGTCTTAAAGTATGTCACTGTAACAATACCTAAAACAATTACTAATAAGTAGATGTGTAATACTTTGGAACTTGCAGCTGTGACGCTATTAATTTAAAAATATCAACACTACTTTATAACATTATTTGCGCAAGTGGCTCACTTATTATAAAGTAACACATTTTACACAAAAATATTGCCAATTTTAGTAGCATTTTTCTAGTATACAAACAAACGCTTTCTGTTTATCTTTCATTTTTTTACATATGTTTGAAATTTCTTAGAGATAGTTCTCAGATGTATGATTTACAATTATTCTAATCAATGTGCTTTTCTAACTTTTAGATATTTCCAAGAAATCATTAAAAAATACAAGAAAACTTGTAAGATGTTATCGTTACATACAATGCAATCAAATATGTCAGAATCAGAATATCTTACACACGTCTTGGGTCCAAGATTCTTACCGTTAGATGTCATTATTCCTTTAACAACAATTTACGCAATAATATTTTTTTTGGGTATTATCGGAAATCTAGCTACTTGTTTAGTTATCATTAAAAACTCATTTCTACAGAGTGTCACAAATTTTTATTTATTCAGTTTAGCAATATCTGACGTTACACTCCTATTGTTAGGTAAGTACAAATAGCTATTCATATTTTTATTTATTTTTAAATAAACTAGGGTAAATTTCTTTGCTGCTCACAAAATATACACATTAAAAAAGTTTATGCTCATGAATTATCTAATTTTAGCAAATATGTTTACGTACCATTCTCGTTAATCTCATTTATTTGGAAAAATTGTTTATAATCCCTAAAATATATTTAACTTTCTTTTAACCAAATAAAAGTTACAGAATATAGCTACAGGGCTTAATCAAAGTTTTAACGGAGATGAAGCGCTCACACTTTGAACTTGGCTGATGTTGAATGAGTGGGATTTCACTGAGTTTTAAAAGAGGGCATAAGAGTGAATAGAGTATTAATTTAGTAAATGTAAGTAAACTTGAACAGGTTAGTGACATGAAAAGAGGATACAGTATGTGTAATAATCTGGGTTTTGAGCTTATTTCTCTTACAGTCTAAAATAAATGGGAAAACACACTAAAATACACACCATGTACTAATTAAACTAACTTTTACCAAACAGTTAAATATCTGTACTGACGACAATTTCTTTTTCCTGGTTGTGAGTAAGTAAAAAAAAAATCAAGTAAAAACTTATACTTCTACAAAATTATCTAGCAGATATAAAAATTATGAACATAAATATACCTTCTATAATATGATATTTACAAAGGTGGTGCAATTATCGTACAATGAGTACACTTACGTTACTTACGTATAGTTTCAATAAATATTTTAATATTTAATCACTAAACCAATATAAACAATATATTATGATACAATACAATATAAACAATGAGGAGGCTAGCCAGTATAAGACTGTGCACTTTCATTGAATCTTCCGATGGTTTCAAAACGACTTTCTAAGAAAATAAAAAATACCCTTAAAAAATAGCAGATCGTTTAACTGTATCCTTTTTCATACGTTTAATTTAATAAATTTCCAATTTTACATGTAGTCTGATGAAAAAATCACTAAAATTAAAATTGCATCATTCCTCCCTCCCCTCTGAATTATGAGCGGAACTTTTTCTCTTACTAACTATGTGATAAATGTCTTTAAGTAAAAAAATCACCTTTATCACAAAGAAAAAATTGTGAAAGCAGAAAACGCACTAAAAATCAATTATTGTATTTATGTAGTACAAAAAATTGTTTTTTCAATTATAAAAATTTTGAAACAATGTGAAATAATTGTATAAACAACAATATGTTTTTTTGAAAAGTAATGAATTGATGATAAGTAAATAAATGTTTAGTAATACTGATGAAAGCTGCTCTGCTAATAAATACTAATTTCTAAATTTCCAAATTTTCGAAAAAAATATGTATCTAAAAAATATATTTAACTAAATAAATTTTTTTTTTTTTTATGTACAATCAAACCAAATGAATGGGAATTTACAATAAATTAACACTAAATAAGATTTCACAATTAACAAAGTTACGAAATGTAAGATAACATGAAGCAATTTAATTTTTTTTTACCGGGAGCTCACAAAGCAAAGTGAGTAAAGGCCCCCACTAGGCCCCCACTAGGCCCACACTTTGCGCTTAGTATAACACTTCATATAACGTGGTGCAGGAATTACTGGAGCGCAAAATGTGGCCCAAAGTTGTAAAGTAGTACTTGTTCTTTGTGTGTATAACAAAAATATATATTATTTTAAAGGCCACTATAAGCAAGAACTAGATTCATTTAACTCTTTTACTTAGAAAACCAAGTGTAGGGCGCGTCCAAGCCAAGCAGAACGCGTGGCTTGCGCAGAGCCTTTTTCGCATTTAAAACGTTCTATTGAACTTAATTATAACATATGGAAAATAGATAGAAAAAAAGGTGAAGACAAAAATCGATAAATTTTGACTTGCTTTTTCACGCAGTGGAGTCAGTTTTTACGGAAAAAATTTTTTTACTTAAATCAATTTCCAGGTTTAGGCTATTTTTTCTCAAACAGAGTAGTGTCAACGTTGTAAAAGCTGTCAATTACACTGACTTACATAAATAAAAGGTACGTATATAGGTAGATCAAAAGTTCAGAGCCTATTAGAACCCTGCGGAGGTCTGTGAAAGGTTGGTGAAGATTTGGTGAAAACAATTAAATTGAAAGAGGTCCCGTCAGCCCCCACGATCTTCTAGTCCTCTTTTAAATAAAAGAAAATTGTATTGGCATTTACCTCATTTTTATTGGGTTAACTGGATAATCCAATAAGTCTTCTTCTTAATTTTGAAAAAAATTCTTTAGCCACCCTTCAGCCGCATCTCTAAATGAGGTTAAATTGTTTTTCAGCTCTTCTTTCACTTTTAAAGAATCTTCCTCTCAGTCTCTTACAATTTTTCGACATGCTGCATTGTTTTTTCTAATCCTCTTTATCAACTTTTTATCACTTACTCAATAATTGTTGATATACATTATTTGTTAATACATTTTCACACAACCCTAGATATAGTGCAATGCTTTGCTGGTTCTTGTTTAGTAAATTCTCAGTAGACTTACTTATAAGATTGTTAAACATGTATAAGAACACAACGTAATACTTTTATACTTACTTAAAAAACAACGAATTATTTTATCAAATATTTAATCCGTGGACCTTATTCTGAGCTCTATTTACCACGAAAAGATAGGAATTATCTTTATCTGTTTATTAAAATATGTTAAATACTTTACTAAAGCTTACACTTTTTGCTTAAGTCTAGATATAACGCACCTTACAATACAATAAAGTTGATGTGCAATAAAGAGAAGCTTTATATTATTCAACAACTTTATATACATACAATTGTAATTTATATATGTTTATATTCTACTTTAATACTTTAATATTACAAATGAAATTTTCGAGAATAAATCAGTAATTAAAATTATTTCCGAATCTATTTCCCTGTAATTATTCCATAACATATTAATAGTAGCTCCCCCCCCCCAATGGAGAAGGCATTTTTTTATAAGAAAAAGAAGTCCCGTTGCCGCGATTATTGACCCTCAACATGTAAAACTGTTAGCTATCTGTTGCGAACCTTTGCTCGTACCTATGGGCACGCAATGTAGTCCATGCTTTCAATACTTATTCTAACACTATGTATACTCTATCGATAGCTATCTATTTAAGTGCATTACCATGTGTACCGTAGTACACTTTCTTTTATCTTTCTCCCTTATAAGTTCAGCGTTGAGCTGTAAGTGTGGTTCGCTCTTTACAAATAAAGTACATAATAATAAACGTATCTTTTAATTCTCTTGTTTTCTCTTTTTGTATCTTACTAATATATAAAGCAAAGTCGTTAAGACCGTTGTAATCTTAAACCGCGAAAACTACTTAATCGATTTTGCTAAAATTTTGCATACTGTTTCTTGATGATTTTAAGATGAATTCCGCATAGTTTCTTTCTTGAAGAAGTTAATAACTATAGCGATAAATAAGCTCAAAGTTTTGCTAAAATAAGCTAGCTTTGCGCTTTAGTTCAGTAGGATTCGCTAGGTGGCATCGAGGTAAAACTGAAGCCACCCACAATCAAAGATAGTGAAGAGTGGTTATAAGATGCCCCGTCAAGTTAACGATTGTTGTAGGCGTTCATCGGCACTACTCCACAATTAAAGTTGTTAGTCGTGCAGTTAGGCATCCCGGCGACCAATAATGTTCTCCTTTCTTTGTAAGCCAGTGCTGGACAGCGTTTTCTTTCAGGGCATGGGGCTCGTTTCTCCCCAGGAGAGTAGCTTGCTTCCCGACGGGCTACCCCTGGCGAGACTTCCTCTAGGTGAGAGTCTCCAGGAGCCGAGCTGAGTTGGCCGAGCCGCGAGCGTCGTGAAGCGGTAGTATTTCGCGTTTTAGGTGCAGTGCCATTTGCGTCATTTCCAGTGCCGAATCAGTGATCATTCAAGAGTGTTTGAGCGTTGCTTTGGGACCGCCCTGGCCGGGACACTCTACGTGTCACAGGGCGAGAAAACGCAACGTTACATGGTCCCTATTTAACCATCAATATCATCGGTTCTTTTAAGGGCAACCCAAGTTTAAACTATCTTGCCAACAAATACATTTATACTACCATTTCCGGGAACGATTCGACTAAAAGACTATGTAAAGCTGGCCACTATTAATATAATCCAAGTCAGTCATTCACTGGCAGACGTCATGAGCAAAGTTGTATTGTATGGCTAAGAACCCCGGTGATTGACGACCCTTCATTATCCTCTCGACTCTAAGCATTTAACCAGGAATTACCGATTCTCTTCACGGTCTGCGATGGGAGAACCTAACAGCTATGAAGAAAAAATAATGAATGTGAGCCAACAGACAAGCGTCATGAACCAACCTCTTCATCTTGGATCACCAAAACAACTGAGTCTGGAGAAAAAGAAGGTGCTTTAGACACCTATTTCTTTGACGTCATATCAGAAAACGTTAGAAAAGACTTCTACAACTAGCTCTAAAGCTTCAAACGTTGTATTTTTTTTCTTAATCAGTGTGGTGCTAAAATAACAGGCCAGAGAAGATCATCCTGAGGTACAGAGGCAATTACGTTTGTTGGAAACTTCAGTCAAGGAAGAGTTTACTTAATTTGCTCGCTGGTCCTTTTCCGGGTCATTGAACGTTGAATTACATTGCTAGCAAATGTATTACAATCAAATAAAGTTAGAAAAAATAGCCTTAAAGGCTCGCAAAAATCTATATTATGCTAAAAGTCACAAGAAGTCGAATTGAAAGGAAAACTTTAAATGAGTCTAATGGATACAATTTAAGGCATCAAGAAAATGGCGCTGAACATTTATCGAGATTAAAGTAGCATCAAAATTGATAAATGAAAAATTTATTAGGTGAGAGATCTGATTTTTACTATAACCCCCATAGTAATCTCTTCAATCTTCTATTTGTATTTTTGTGATGATAAAAAATGTAGAGATTGAGCTCCAGAAATTTGTTGTTGTGGTAATAAAGTTGTGAGATAAGAGAAACAAATGTTTTAATTATATTTTTTTTGTGAGCTTTGAATCCTTACAGCTTTAAAA